CTCTCTCGCGCTCTCTCTCTCTCTCTCTCACACACGCTCGCGTGCGCGCACACACACACACACACACACGATGCGCAAAACTCTGCATTTGAACAGTCAATAGCAAATACTTAAACTAATAACAAAACAGTAGCTGATTCAGAAGCGCCAGATTGTCATAGCAAAGTCAGAATTACCTCCTCTCCTAGGTTCACGAAACGGTCGTCCATAAAATGCATTGCTGTTCTGTTGTAAGTAATCTTAAAGATTCCTAAATGCATCTACTTTCGGAAGACCAAATAAAGTGCTTTTGCTTTTGTCTAGAAACACACAGCGTCTCCCTGACATGCTGCTTCAACACTAACTGCGGTCACTGAAACCACGCCTTCTTTCTTTGCGTGAACATTTGGGCGCATTATGCAAATATTTCCACATAGTGAGGGAGATATGTGGGGGCGTGTTAGACCGAGCCGTTTTAGGGGGGCGTGGCAGAGTCTTAACTTTGATAAAGAATATCTCTTTGGTTTTGAGACTTTAGTCTTTGCAACTTCAGGGATCTTATCTATGCACAATCAGCTTGTAACACTCCAAAGAGAAAGGAAAACTTGAAATCGCATCATATGACCCCTTTAAAACTGAGTAGAGAAGAAGACGGTGCTATAGCGCCCCTTGTGGCACTGGTAAGAATGCAATTAATGCATTAGAAATGCAATGGCATGTGACATAAGGCTTGAGGCCTACAACACAAGTGAAGTCTGGGTTCACAGAAACAATTTCTGAGACCGCTTTTTTGTTTTATGCAGTAAAGAGATCTGTAATAAAACCATTGGTGGGCAGATTGTCATGTGTCCTCTCTGTGATAAGAAATGTGGCTACTGGATGCTCAGCACAACCTGTAGCTCCTCATGGGTGAGTGAACAAATAACTGTCCATCTTTTATTCATTTACTTACTTATTTACTTATGGAGTATGATTTTGTGTATTTATTAATGTAAAGTTAAACCTTCATCTGATTGCCTTTTAGCAATCGTATCTGTTTGACAACACAGCGACGGTGTTCTTTGCAATATTCATGGGAATATGGGGTGAGTAGAGCCTCTTGTAGCTCTTGTAACTGTTCTAGAATTGTATCTGTTGTTACCTGTGTCTGTATTTGTTACATCAAACTACTGCCTACACCTTATTTGCTTGTCATAACTTATGCAGTTTGATGTCAGTTGATCAGCCAATGAAAATATGGATTAACCATAATTAAAGAGAATGTATTAATATTTGGATGTAGTTTTAATTGTTATGATCATGATCATGAAAATGGCACATACGCTGCCTAAAGTTGGTAAATATGTAATATTTTCTTTTACTCTGACTGCCCCTAATGGTAAAAGATGATACTTGTTCTTAAACATTTAGTAAAATACTCATGTTGTCAGTCAGTCATTTACAGCAAGTGTTGTATTTAGTATATTGTGACATCTGGTTGCATAAAAAACATTTTCTTTTAAATTATACATTATAATGCAAAAATGGGGCGTCATAGGGGTGTTTCAATAGAAAGCTGCGGTGATTATGTGTTTTTATAGGCCAACCCAGAAGTTAGCATCACTTCTGTCGACAAAAACCATTAGACTTTGAAACATGCAGAAAATAAGCTCTGTGACCAATGAAAGTTTACGATTCTTACACGTTTCGTTCAACGTGATTATCTTCACACGTGAACACAACTTTTATTTTGAAGCCTAAATACAAGGCTAAACAAACTGCAGACACATGACTTCAACGGACATAAGCTTCAGACAACTCTTTAGTCTTTATTTAAAAACAATTGTCCCTGAAAGTTTGAGTTAGAATAGTTAGTAATAAGTAGTGACTATTGAGGAAATGAATTTAGGCTGTGACGATCATTGACAACCTCTGTAGTCTCATTTAGACACGGCCTTTTTCAATACAAGTGAAAGCTTTAAAAAAAAAAAAAGAGGGCATAGCTGATGTATTTTATGGTGTAGAATTAACATGAAAATATATTGAGCTTATGTCTAACACAGACCTTATTTCAGACATTTAAATAAAAAAAACATTAACTTCAGGACAATGGGATCAGAATTGCTAAAGTACAAAAATGCATCATCCTTGCAGCACTGTATGCAGCCAGGAAACAGACACAATGCATGAGTTTTAAGGTGTAGTTTTTCTCGGCCGTCAGTGACTCTGTTCCTGGAGTTCTGGAAGCGGCGTCAGGCTCGACTGGAGTACGAGTGGGATCTGGTGGACATGGAGGAAGAGCAGCAACAGCTGCAGCTCAGACCCGAATACGAGACCAAGTGCACCCACCGCCGGCTCAACCGCGTCACGCAAGTACGCATACATATCTAATGACCTCTTGACCCACAGATTTGTCAGAGTGTAGTTTTACCAGGAATAACTATATTAAAGCAAATAATTGTTTTGATCATATAGAGCTAGGTTCTTCATTCCTGGTCTCCGAAAGATTAGTATATAGTATATATATATATACGGCTTTCAGGATCATGAATGAGGAACACTAATGTAAAGCACGAGTAATTATACAGTATATACTGGCTTTTTTTATTCTACGGATAACTGTCAATTTATTGTTTACTTATTATAAATGTCCATTGCAAAATGTTCTTGAATTTCACCCTTTGTTCTGAATTTAACTGTTTGTTAAACTTGTATTGCAGCCGTTCATCGCTGATTTGTAACTATTCCTTCAGCGGATTTTATATTAGCTTTAAAATATTAATTTTTTTGTATTTCAAGTGAGGCGAGTCGAAAAGATCAGAAAACGTGTATCTAGACTCCGAGAGATGGCTGAGTGGCTCATGTTAGACCCATTAGTCAGTTTAGATGGCATATTTAATTTGACAAAATGAAGATAAGGCTGTGATGGATGGACATAACAAGGTCTTGGTACACATCTCCTGTTTTATAAAGCTTTTCATCCTCGAGAAAGTGTCTGGAAAGATGTAATTTCAGTATTTATTAGCTGAACATAGTGAATGCCACATACAATAGTTCATTAAATGGGGAAAGAGTAAGGGGACGTTCACACAAAATGTGTTTTTCCATTCCATTGTGCTACTTTTCTATTGCTTTTTTTAACTGAGAGAGTGTTAAAAAGAGTGTGTAATGGTTCTCAGGTGAGCGTGTGATTAGTGACGGCTGTGTGATCAGGGAATTCAGCTGTGTAAGTGCAATGGATGATGGGAACTGCAGTCCAGAGTGACATGTAACAGTCTGTGTAGTGTGAGAGTCAATGTAATGGTAGAGTGACCTCTGGTGGCAATCGGCCGGAAGGCCACGGACCGGATTCGTGACAGCATGCTGGGGACTATTTTCAGGCGCTGCGTAATATCATTGCGCCTGCTGCACTCATGGTACGGCAGCAAAGCTCCTTGATTATTACGCCGGAATGAGAGTATAGTTCCTAGCCATATCGGCCTAGAAAATCACAACTTTTCATTTTCCGTCAGTCTTAGTACACAATGTAACTACAGAAGAGTCACGTTTTAAATAGGAAAAATATAGAAACTCTTTGGTCATTTTTGAGCGAGATGCTAACGGTCTAATCAGATTCAATGATCTATGCTAAGCTACAGCTAAAAGTGCTACCGCCAGACCCGGAGATCGGCTGAATGGATTCAAAAACGGTTAAACTCAACTGTTTAACTCTAGGGGAGTTGGAAAAATATTTAAAAAAATTGTGGAGTGTTCCTTTAAGTAGCACAGGTATATTTGTAGCAGTAGCCAACAATGCATTGGTCAAATGGGTCAAAATTATTTATTTTTCTTTTATGCCAAAAATCATTAGGATATTAAGTAAAGATCATGTTCCATGAAGATATTTTGTAAATTTCCTACCGTAAATATATCAAAACTTAATTTTTGATTAGTAATATGCATTGCTAAGAACTTCATTTGAACAACTTTAAAGACGATTTTCTCAATATTTAGATTTTTTTGCACCCTCAGATTCCAGATTTTCAAATAGTTGTATCTCAGCCAAATATTGTCCTATCCTAACAAACCATACATCAATGGAAAGCTTATTCATTCAGAAAAAATTCAACAAATGTACCCTTATGGCTGGTTTTGTGGTCCAGGGTCACATACGTATATTAGATTTGAGTATATTAGGTTTGTAAACCTCTGAGGTCTTAATAGTATAATTTGACAGACAATGGGCAGAATATGAAGCTACAAAGTCACTTTAGGTGTTGTCATGTCACAAACGGTAGTCAAGGTTAGTTTATCCACCAGCCAACAGAGAAACTAGATAATCAGCGTGTTTGTTTGGCTTTGTTCGTATTGTGTAGGAACAGGAGTGGGTTCTAGACCAGAGCCCAGCTGATAAAGCATGCAGGTTTATCCTGTGCTGGGCCACTGTGGTTTTGTGGGTAAGGCAGGCACAGGACGACGATACTGTAGATCGGATTGCTGTGTGTGTGTGAGAGTGTGTAGCATTAGCAGCCTGCTTGCAGTGTGATCGCAGCTTTGAAAGACTGTAGTCATAGACTTAATGACTCGTTATAAACAGGAAGACAGCGGTGTGGACAGTGCTAGATTAGGTGTGTGGTGGTGGTTGCTCATGATCCCTGCTTTGCTTGCTTGCTGTGTAGGAGATGGAGCCTTATTTACCTCTAACAAGCAAGTTTGCTCGTTCAGTACTGTCCGGGGCCACCGTCCTCTTCTGGGTGAGCATCAAAACCGTCTGCTACTTTCAGTATAATAATCTAATTTTATGTATGTATATATATATATATATATAATTGAAGAACAAATTATGTCAAATTGTTATAAGCACCTCTTATATTAACACAGTGATGTACAAAAATACAGTGGGGTCCAAAGGTCCTAGACAACAATGAAAAACTGGGATTCAAAATTGAATTAAACTTGGAAACTTCAAAGTTTTCAGATTTTTAAACACAATACATGTTATGATATTGTGAACAAAAAAAATATTTAAGATTCTGCACCTTTCTTCAATAATCAAAAAGCAAATTTGTTTAATGCTCTTTGGAACTTTGAAGCATTTTCAAATCATGCTGGATAATTTGAGGTTTTGTTTAGCTCTAGCCATTAAAGCAAAAGGAAGGCACACCAAATATAAGAAATTCTGTTTTTTATAAATAAATAGATATACAGAAGCATTTTCACTAGAGGTCTCAGATTTTTGACCCCCACTGAATATATTAGCTCTGTTCCAACGGTTAGTGAGCTGCCTACATATGACAGCTTAGGACATCATATACGAGTATGTTATTAATACCGAAATATGTCTAGAAAATGATGTAGCAGCAAACAGTTTACTCTATATTTGCACTTGCTATGTACTTTCATTCTTATTAGAGTTGTTAGCTTAGCAACATGCTAATATCAAATACATTTGAAATCAAATGTGAATCAAAACTTTGCGTGAGGAGTGTTTATATGTATAGGTTATAGATAGGTTATTGCATGATATGGGTAAGACTCAATATCGAATGTTAATAAGTCGCTGGACTGTATGGACACAGAATCACACAGCAGTAAGTAAGTTAAATCAGTAAATCTGATGTTTGCTCTAGAACATTTTGTCTGAGGATGCATGTTTTACCAGCATCATGTAGCATTTTACCGTTTTGACGTGTCCTAGTAAGCACTGCATGTTCATAATTTAGTTTTTCTTTTTTAACAATATTTTTGCATGGATAATTGAGCAGTATTGAGTTAGTAATAGTAACTGCAGCGAGTGAGTTTTGTGTGTGTGTGTGTATGACTTGTACCTCTCTCACTCCCAAACCCAGATCTCTCTGATTATCGCCAGTATAATCGGTGTGATTGCGTACCGTCTGGCGGTGTTTGCGGCATTTGCCAGCATTATGAAGGACAGCCCCACCAATAAGCTGGATGTGGTTGGATCCCTTATCACGCCGCAGTTAGCCACATCCGTCACGGCTTCCTGCATCAACTTTGTCATCATCATGATTCTGAACTTCCTGTATGAGCGTGTAGCCATAAAGATCACTGATATGGGTGAGTCTTTACGTATAAGTATATCGGACTCCCAGCCTCTTTTTTTCCCACCTAAAACCTTTAAAAACATTCCAAATGTAACGTTTCAATAAATACACAACACCTAAAAAAACTATTATTAGTTTATTGTTTGTTATTGTTGTTGTTGGTTTCTGTTTTAAAACGTTTTTTTTGTTTTTATTGCATTTATTTGACCTCGGCACTATCTAATTTCTGATTTGTTCCAGTCCATTCATTTTGTGTTCTGTATCTTGTAATAAACAATAAGAGAAGCAATCGTATATTCAGTTAGTAAAGTATTTCCGTAATGTAAAAATGTTTGTGCACTGATTTTTATTCACTTGTTCTTCTGTCCGCAGAGGTTCCCAAAACCCATGTGGAGTACGAGAACAAGCTAACGGTGAAGATGTTCCTCTTCCAGTTTGTCAACTACTATTCCTCTTGCTTCTACGTCGCATTTTTTAAGGGCAAATTTGTGGGCTACCCTGGAGACTATGCCTACATGTTTGGCAAGTGGAGAAATGAAGAGGTAGACCTGAGATCCCATGAGTCTGTTTTTAAAGTTGTATTGTTCTTTTTCTTCTCCATGCCATTATTTACTTTTTAAACCTTTGTTATGCATTTGTTGGTGCCAATGGATCACTAATTTATATTAATTGAATATAGAGTTTAAAGGGTTAGTTTGCCCAAAAATGAAAATTAGGCTGTTTTACTCACCCCCGAGGCATTCTAGGTGTATATGACTTTCTTCTTTCAGACGAATCCAGTCGGAGTTATATTAAAAATTGCTATTCCAGCTATTCCAAGCTGTTTAATGCCACTCAGCGGGTGTTGCAGTGCTTCAGTCCAAAAGAAGTGAAGCAAAAAGCGCCCATCCATAAAAAAAAAGTGTCTCACACGGCTCCGGGGGGTGAACAAAGGCCTCCTGTAGTGAATCAATGCGTTTTTGTAAGAAAAATATCCATATTCAAAACGTAATAATCACTTTAATGTAGCTTGCGCTCACTATTGTACACGGAAGCAGCTCCGGGCGGATGACGTATGAGGTCGGCTTTGTGCATGCGCCGCTCAGAAGTGTAACTGCACACGGAAGCGCAACGGAGAGATCAAAACAAAACAACGGTCACTAATTAGAAGTACAAAACGAGGATTTGTAAAGAAGAATGTCGGAGGATTTCGATATAAGCCAAGAGGAGACTGGTTTTCCTTTGCTAAAGTAAAGAAACTTTGCTTCCTTTGCTCCTGTAAACAAACGTTGGTTTTCACGAGACTCACCAACTCTGAACTCATACGTCATCTGCCCGGAGCTGCTTCTGTGTACAACTGTTGGCGCAAGCTACATTAAAGTGATTGTTAAGTTTTGAATATGGATATTTTTCTCACAAAAACGCATCGATTCGCTACAGGAGGCCTTTGTTCACCCCCCGGAGCCGTGTGAGACACTTTTTTTATGGATGGGCGCTTTTTATTTAACTTCTTTTGGACTGATCCATGCAACACACGCAGATTGCAATGATAGAGCTTGGAATAGCCAGGACAATTTTTTAAATAACTCTGACTGGATTCGTCTGAAAGAAGAAAGTCATATACACCTAGAATGCCTCTGGGGTGAGTAAAACACAGCCTAATTTTCATTTTTGGGTGAACTAACCCTTTAAGGATAATAGTAAAATACATTCATGAAAATATACATTATCGTTTAATATTATACTTATTAGATCGGTTTATTTCTGATCATCATAATTGTGTTTTCAGTGCGAGCCAGGCGGCTGTTTGATTGAGTTAACCACTCAGTTAGTGATCGTGATGGTGGGTAAACAGGTGTGGGGGAACATACAGGAAGCTCTCGTCCCGTAAGTCCACATGACCATGATATATACTGAATCTACTGTCTATTTTGATGATAATAAGCCGAGAAAGTGAATGATTCAGATCCACGTAAAATGTGTTTTCCTGTGCATGTTCATGTGTTGTTAGTGGGTGGTGTTTTATGTATCTCTGCAGTGGTGTATAAAGTACCTGAAAGCCATACTCAAGTAAAAGTACAGATATCTTACCAGAAAATGACTTTGGTAGAAGTTGAAGACGCCGTTTAGAATAGTACTTGAGTAAAAGTCTTAAAGTATGTGATATTTATTGTACTTAAGTACGAAAAGTATTTTTTTAATCTTAAACATACTTAAGTACTGAAAGTAAAAGTACAAGTAAATGCAAAATGGAAAAGAAGCAAATACATATATATAAAAAATGTTCATACATACTACTTGAGTAGCAAGATTGTGTTCAGTTTGAACTCTTTCTTCCATTTTGTATTTTTGGGTAAGAATAAGAAACACTTCATCCGGTACTTAGTGTCTTTCATTCCAACATAAGAAAACATTTCTGGAATCTGCATCTGAAATAGCATTTAGATGTATTTACACAGTTTAATGTAGCTCAGAGGGGACATGGATGCATTTAAACTGCAGTTACAGATGCATAAATGATGCTTTGTTTTTAACATAAAACGTTGAATACTGATATTTGAAATAATTTACAACATGAACAAAATAGTCGAAATGTGAAATGAAAACCGCCAGTAGGTGGCAGCAAGTGACTGTTAATGAGTGAGTCATTGAGATTCAACCGATTCATTCAAACGACTGATTCATTCCGAAACAAAGCATTTAACTGTGGCTGTGTCCGAATTCGCCCCCTATACCCTTAAATAGGGCACTATTTGAGGGAACAGCCATTTTTAGTGGTGTCCGAAACCATAGTGGACGTTCTTGAGTGCACTCATTCAATCCCACAATGCACTGCAAAAACGAGTGTACAACTGGTGCACGCTCAACGGCTAGAGAATGCCCATAATGCACTGTGAGAGTCACGCGACGAATGAGTTCCCGCATCTCGCCAGAAGATGGCGAAGGAATAGTGAATGAGGGTATAGGGGGCGATTTCGGACACAGCCTGTGTTAATGAGTGAATCACTGAATCATTTATTCAACCGATTCGTTCAAAAAGCTGATTCATTCCGAAACGCAAGCAATATTATGTTAAAAATGTAAGTCACTTATTGCTTTACTGAACTTGTATAAAATGATTATTAAATGTGTTCATGCTGATATTTACAGAAAAACGGTAGGCTACTCTTTGTGTGATATAGATTAAGTTAACCATATTAAATTATATAAACATCTACAATTTTACAATTTAGCCTTGAATTTTGATACATTATTTTGAAATAATGTCAGATCACACATCATTACAACACTTACCATATCGCAGACGATATACTGTATAGCGCACACCCCAGACTCGACTTGAGTGGAAAATGAATCATCCGCGGTTGTGCGCGCACTTGTTTACACATGAGCAAAGGTGTTTTTAAGAGTCTAACTTGCAGAGGGCAGACCACTGTCTGATTCGTCAAACCTGCTTTCCTGCAGTCCGTGTTCTTCTGACTTCTGACTCTTTTGTAGTAAGTAACAAATATGCTTCGGGGAAATGTATCGGAGTAAAGGTATACATTTTAATTAAGAAATGTAGTAGAGTAAAAGTAAAAGTTGGCTGAAATATAAAAACTCAAGTAAAGTACAGATACTCCCAAAAAATACGTACTTCGTTACAGTACTTATTATTACTTTGTTACAATACACCACTGTATCTCTGTCTGTGTGTAGCTGGCTGTGTAACTGGTGGGTGAGCAGAAGCGCTCGTAATCATCCGGAGAGTCTGTACAGCCGCTGGGAGCAGGATCATGACCTGCAGAGCTTCAGTCAGCTCGGCCTCTTCTACGAGTACCTGGAGATGGGTGAGTGTCCGGCAGCTACAGTATATCAGTGCTGAATGTGACCCTGGACCACAACACCAGTCATAAGGGTCAATTTTTCGAAATTGAGATTTATATATCATCTGAATAAATAAGCTTTCCATTGATGTATGGTTTGTTAGGATAGGACAATATTTGGCTGAGATACAACTATTTGAAAATCTGGAATCTGAGGGTGGAAAAAAATAAAAAATATTGAGAAAATCACCTTTAAAGTTGTCCAAATGAAGTTCTTAGCAATGCATATTACTAATCAAAAATTAAGTTTTGATATATTTACGGTAGATTACAATTATGGATGCCACAATTATGTAATCGTTCAAAGAGACAGTTAATCGTTCAAAGTCCACTTATATTATTCTGCACGCTTAAGATGTTTTTTTTCTTTCTACATGTTATCTTAAGGGTTCTTCCATTGTTTTAGTTTTAGTGTAACATTTCATATTTTTCATAAGAAACCAATCCGATGTATAGTTGACATTTGAGGCTTAATACTATAGAAAAGCACTAAAGGTTTTTCAGTTAGAGTGTTTTCAGCTGGTTTATTTTCATATAAAAATATTGCATGCAGTTGCATCAAACTATGGTGTAAACATCATTCAATGGAAATTGTGATAATCGTAATTAATAATCGCAATTACAATTTCAAGGCAATAATCGACAATTATGATTTTTGTCATAATCGTGTCATAAAAGTGCTGTCAAACGATTAATCGTGATTAATCGCGTCCAAAATAAAGTTTTTGTTTACGTAATATATGTGTGTATACTGTGTATATTTATTACGTACATATAAATACACACACATGTATGTATATATTTAAGAAAAATATGTAACATTTATATATTAAATATATTTATATATGATATAAGTTATATAAATATACATGTAAATATTTTCAATATATATGCTGTGTGTGTGTGTGTGTGTGTGTGTATTTATATGTACATAATAAATATACACAGTATACACACATATATTATGTAAACAAAAACTTTTATTTTAGATGCGATTAATCATTTGACAGCACTAATATATATATATATATATATATATATATGTGTATATATATATATAATAACTATTCATAAAGTATATCTAAAAAATGAAATCAATATTTTAAATCATTACACCGCTCTCTGGAATACTTTGTAGTTGAACTTGTTGTGGTCTCTACAAGGAAGTTCATAAAAGTCAGGCTACAAAATGTCATGCCCAAGTCTTTACTTATCTGTTTCATATGTTGCTGTGTAATGAGCCGGCGTTGTGCTGGGGTCCCCGTCACTCTGTCAGGGTGTATTAGTTTGCAATAAAAAATGGCTGACTGTACAAAGCCTTTACACCTCTTCATGTAAGCGCTTTTCTCAGCAAATATTGTGCAATTAAAAATGTAAATTTTAATAAATTGTTCTAATCAATTTTTAATCTGTCACCCTAATTGAGGTTCTTGTCGTTTTTGTGCCCAATTAATATTGTCCAGATTTTAAGTGAGTTATGATCTGCTCTAGACTTAGGTCAGGGTAGACACCATGGAAAAAAAGGCTGTGAGGGATGAAATTACAGTCTCTGCAGTGGCATGCACTTGTCTTAATTTTCAAAGTTTTATGGACTTTTTGTCTGTTGAATGTTTTTTGGAAACGTCGGCTGATCAGTTGGCATGTTGTTAAACAACAGTACAATCCACTGTCCATCGCAGCCTGGTTTTCATACATGCCCTTACATTTGTGCTGTTTTCAGCTGTATCTTAAAAACATGTTAATGACTAAAGTCAGATTATACTGTACTCAAACTAGGCTACAATAATATGCAAGCAACATGTTCATGTGTGGTTTATGCGTGGTTTGTTAAAAAAAATAATAATAATAAGTAAGTCACTGTAACTTGACTACAGTTTAAAAGTAGCTTAATGAACACTTATTTACGTTAACTCACCAATACAGAGCCCCAGACATGTTATGCAGGAAAAAATATATATTTTGTGGCCATAAATTAACGATCAATTTACACGACTTACTAGTTCGTCACCTCCTTTCAAGTAAATCATGAGTACAACTTACTAATTTGTCACCTTTTTTTAAGTACATCATGCGCACGATTTACTAATCTGTTGTGTTTGTTGAATGATTTGTGAATATCCGAATGCACCCTCTTTGAGAATAGGCTACATCCCCGTTACAGCCCTGTCATACTTCTTTTATAACAGCAGCAATAGTCTTTTTCAAAAAAGTATTTTCTCACTTTATGAAACTACAGACAGGAGTTAGTAAAACATGCCCATGAATTCACTAAAATGAGGTAACAAATTAGTAAAACGTGCACGATTTACATAAAATAGGGGAATGAATTAGTAAAACTAAAAAATATAGTAGTAGACGTATTAGGAAGTCATGGGAACTACCGTATTGGCCTGAATGTAAGACGACCCCCCTTTTCCCAGGTGTACCTTTTGGAAAAAGGCTTTTTAAAAACCAAATCTTGTTTTTTCTCAGTAAAACACATTTTGTCTTCAATTATTTTCATGTTGCGTATTTTTCCTATTTTAATTTTTGTTTTGAAAGTATGGTAAAAACTGGTTAAATGTACCAACAATCACATTGAAAAAATATACACTTTTTGATATGCCATTAAAAAACAAAAAAACAGGTAGCCCATCTGAATTAGGACATTTAGGCTATCCATCTAATAGTAGCCTACCAAAATCTAATTAACAGTAGAAGTTCAATCTTACTGTAGTCTTCAAATCTGGCACACTTGTTTTATGCGTATTTGGTGCCACCTATTGTTGTGGGTGTATTATTGACATGTCAAAGTCTAGACCCTGAATATAAGACGACCGCGTTTTTTCAGATGCATTTCCAGGAAAAAAACATTGTCTTATATTCGGGTCAATACGGTAATTGTTAATTCATATATAAATATTTTTTCTCTCGCATGTCATGTGTGGGACTCCATACACCATCAACTTCTATATGAACAAACTTTCAGCCTGCAGTAACTCAGTCTGTAGCTCGTCTTTATATTGAGAAACATTTCATCTCGTCTTTGTTTTGCAGTTATCCAATTTGGCTTCATCACCCTGTTTGTGGCCTCTTTCCCGCTGGCTCCTCTGCTGGCTCTGATGAATAATATCTTGGAAGTGCGAGTAGACGCTTGGAAATTCACCACTCAGTTCCGCCGGCCCGTGGCAGCCAAAGTGCACAACATCGGCGCATGGAACGAGATCCTCAACATGATCGCTGTTTTCTCAGTGGTTACCAATGTGAGTCTGTAGTAATAATGAGTCGGGAACCACTTTGACTACATCAGAGTTCGTTGAACAATTCAAACTGATTGTTCAGTGAGTCTTTTGGACTGATTCATTAACAAGAACCAGCTTATATGAATTTTTAGTACACCTACATCTAGGGCTGTCACGATTCCTCGATTCAACCGAGTACTCGATTTGAAAAAATCCTCGATTGAATTTTGCCCATGTCGAGTAACTGGCAAAATACCGAAAGTGGCGCATTTCATGGACGAGAAAATTAGACCATTTTCCATGGCTGCATGCTATATAAAACCCATTTAAAAATCATAATAAAGCTATTGTGAAGTGAAGTGTGGCCAAGTATGGTGACCCATACTAGGAATTAGTGCTCTGCATTTATCCCATCCAAAGTGCACACACACAGCAGTGAACACACACACACCCGGAGCAGTGGGCAGCCATTTTTTTGCTGCAGCGCCCGGGGAGCAGTTGGGGGTTTGGTGCCTTGCTCAAGGGCACCTCAGTCGTGGTATTGAAGGTGAAGAGAGCGCTGTACATTCACTCCCCCCACCTACAACCCCTGCCGGACCTGAGACTCAAACTCACAACCTTTGGGTTACGAGTCCGACTCTCTAACCATTAGGCCACGACTTCCCGTTCACATATTGTGAATTCACAAACGCTACGATTCAATTAAATAAATGTATGCGATGCAGGTTTACGTACGTGCATCTCAGAGCGGCTCTGAACTGTTATTATTTACATGTGTGGAGCGTCTCAAACTCCATCTTTGCATATTGTGAGTTTGGGTTTATTATAAAGTTCATCTGGGAACGCCACATGTGCCATTTCATCAGATTTGTAAGGTAAATCATTTATAAATCCCCGCAAACACAGGAGAATACATCAATATCTTTCTCAAGATACTAACTGTTGATAGCGATTTCAAAATAAGAGTGTAACCGTCACTCTTGAGTTATTCAAGAAATGACAGTGGCTATAGCATTTCTGTCATAAAGAAATGGACAAATATTAAAGATTAAGTGGACATTTGAATTAAATGATGTTTAGTCAATATTAATCAAGGATTAGATCGCGCAGTAAAGTGTAAAAACAATCGTCAGGCCGTTGGCACCCTCTGCAAGCATTTGTTATAATACCTATTGTACATTAGCTATATTGTTTGCATTACATAATATTTTAACAGTTTTGTTCAATAAGACCATATGATTACTCGCTTTTGATACTTTATTTGAACTTTTGTGCGGAACTACTTCCTTCCGCCACGGATTCAAAGCTCAA